CTCTGACCTGCTCTCCAGTGCCCACCCAGCCTCCACCCTCTGACCTGCTCTCCAGTGCCCATTCAGGGTGCCACCCTGTGACCTGCTCCGTATAGCCCCAGTTCCTTCTGCCCTGTGCCTGAAGGTCTGCTCCTGTCCCCGGCTGCCTATTCGCCTATTGCTAGAAGCTCTTGAGGGTTTGGCAGCTGTCCTCCTCCGCCCCCACCCCGCCTCCGAGCTCCAACCTGTCCGCGGACTGAGCCTCACAGACATGACAGAACTGGCTTCCGGTGACAACCCTGGTGGATTCAAACTCGAGTCCCTCTGGCCCCAGAGCTCGGGCTGCCTCCATATCCTGAGACTCCTCCCTCAAAGTACTCCCAGGGTAGGCCCGCCAGGCAGCGGTATGGTGACTGGACTGGCCTCTGTGGGCAAGTACAGTGGCAAGAGAAGAAGTCCACTGTGTCTGGAACACACACACCCACCCCCACTCCCGACTCCACCAGCCTCTCGGGGCCTCGGCCTTTCTGTAAAGATCAGCCCTCCTCCTGCCTGCCTCAGCAGGCCTCACGTGATGTGGACGGGAAGGCTCTCTAAGCCCCGTGAAGGTGGGTGTCCAAGCATGCATGAGGCCAGCTGTGCCATCCCCAGGGGCTGCCGCCCCAGTCCTCTCTCTGCCATCGCCACCATCCCATCACCACCACAGCATCACGGAGGCTCTGAGCCTGCTTCTGTGCCAGGCAACGAGCAAGGGGCTTTCTGTGCATCGTTTATGTCGATTTCTACGACGCCCCTTGACGTACGGCAGAGACCACCCTTATTTCTTCTTTATGGAGAAAGAAACCGGGGTCCAGAGAAGTCAAGCAGCGCCCCTGGTCACTCGGCTGGCACAAGGCAGAGTCGAGGTCCCAGTTCAGGTCTGCCACTCCACAGCCCAAGCACCGAACCATAACGGACACCACCCTGGGACAGGGAAAAGCAGCCTGGGACCAGGTCCTCGCTCCCAACTGAGTCACCAGACAGTGACAATATACCTGCTGCTGCAACCAAGACCCCTAGTGTAGACAGACCCTCCAAGTCTTCCCAAGTCTGTGGGGAAGCCTGCCTTCCAGCATCTTCCAACTGGCACTCCAGAGCCCTTGGAGCCTGCTGGGGAGAGGCCTTGTATCTACAGAGCTCAGAGCCCTGGTGGAAAAAGCCTTGAGGCCTAGCCTGGTCATCCCAGGCCGTGCGCGCGCGCGCGCGTGTGTGTACGTATGCATGCGTGTGTTTGTGTATTCACAGGCACACACAGGCAGACCATTTGTTTACCCCTTTATCGACAACCACACACATCAGCTGATGTTGCAGCTAAAAGAATAAGCAGCGACTTCATTCTGGGAATACTAGAATCTAGGAATCTCAGACTCAGAATATCTTAGAATCACCCAGAACCTTCGAGGCCCAAGGTATTAACTACAATAACCTCAGATTCTCTAGCAAGATGTTTCAGAGCACGGGCTGGAAGCCAGGACCCGGGCTGGAGTCCCCGCTCGGACACCAATCCACCGTGGCACCGCTCAGCCCGGCAGTGGCCCTCGGTGACCCAGCTGTAAAATGAGGGTGACAACAGTCCCGTGGCACGACTGCGAGAAGGACGGGGGATGCACTGGGGCGGCACACGGGAGCCACCGGCCACACCACCGGACACTG